GTTGACTGTGGAGCCGAGCAAACTGAAGCTGTGAACCCTCTCAATCTCTTTGTCATCCATCCTGACGCTGTCCTGCTTAGAGAAGGCAATTACCTTTCCTGGCCATATGGAGCAGACAATATAGCCAGTGTCATTCGTTCTATGAAATAGGACACTATGTGATTTGACCATTGTTCAAACAGTGTATTTACACCATGCCCAAGCCCACTGTTCTGTCCTCCTGAAGAGCAGGAGCAGGGAAATTGGTGGCGCAGTGGTAAGGAACAATGATGACAACTTAAAGGCACAGGTTTGAATCCACCAGCTGCTCCGCAAGAGAAAAATGGGCACTCTCTTCTCATGCAACGTCCTGGTCTGAAAACCCATTGGAGGGTCAGCTATGAGTCAGTTCAAACTCAACAACAAAGAGCAGGAACAGCCCAGGGGAGATCCACAGCCCCAGTCACCACCTACTCACCAGGCAAAGCCCTCCTGCCCCCAGGTTGTATCCAGTGAGTACAGAAGACCAGCCTTGCCAGGTGTACAGCTCGGGGCCAGACTGTGGGCCAGACAATAGCCAGATCACAGCTTTGTGCAGGTAGGAGGGAGAGAGAAAATATCCAAGAGGGGTGCAGAGAGGAGACCTTGAGAGGCCTGGGAGGGAAGAGTATGGGCCAGGAGCTTAACTGATGGCAGAGGCCCTGCCTGCTTCAACCTATCGGTTTGGCCACTGCATGTTTACGGGCAGCCCAAGAGCACCTGGCCCAGGCCCGGTCCTGCCAGCACCTGAGGCAGGAGAGGAGAGGGCTGGGCAGAAGCTGCCCTGAGCTGCAGTAAACCGCTTGTGGGAGGGTGACTGAAGCCAAGGAACTGTATATAGGGCCTGGAGTCAGCTGCTCATTCCCTATGGAGTCCTTAAAACTGTATGAGGCGGTGTAATAAACAATAGGGAAGTTGCTCTCCCTTTACAAATAGAACCAGCCTTGCAGGATCACAGAGGCATGTTTGCTCAGTCATCGCCTGGACTGACATCATGCGGTGCAAGACTGCACTTGAGGTGCCTCAGGTCACGGTTGAGGCCAGAGCAGGACTCAGACCACAGCACTCGAGCCCCGTCCAGGCGCCCATCTTGTGCTCTCTGCCCAAGGCCCTGTGCCGTCGGTGGTGAGGACCGAGATCTTCCTGCAGTCGTCCCGGCCGGCCGCGTTCGTGGTGGACGGGGCTGTGCACTGGCTCACCAACTTCATCATTGGCTTCGTGTTTCCCTCCATCCAGGTGAGTGAGAACACGTCCCCACAGGCAGTGTGTGTGACAGGCCACCTTCCCACCCCACCCCACCCCAAGGCAGAAAGAGCTCCAGGAAGGAGTCACAGACCCCCTTCTGCTAAGGTTTGCTTGTTCAACACAAGTGGACTCAAACACGTCCATGCCTCCCAGGGAGCTCCTGTGATGCCCAAGTGAGGGTGAGAGGGGGAGCTTCCCACCTGTCACCTCCCCTCTCCCTTCTGAGGATGTGCTCACCAACTCCACATTGTCCACATCACCAGGGCGTGGTGTCCCTATCATCAAAAGGCTGTGCCTGCAGCTGTTGTTTACCACTGAGTCAATTCTGACTTCAAGGAAAGAGTAAAACACACCCCTCCCCCCATAGGATTTCTGAGGTTTTCACCCTTTCAGAGCTGCTGGTGGGTTTGAACGTCTGACCTTTCCTAACAGCTGAGCATGTAACCTTTGTGCCACCTAGAGGCACCAGCTGGCATTTGCCCTGAGTGCTACTGAGCAGTCACCATTCACTATCGAAGTTTTCAGTTGTGAGAGAGAATTCAGCAAGTTAAAACTTAGCACTTGCGCTTCTTAGCCGGTATTATGGTAAAGGTGCCCCAGCTGTGAGGCCTGCTTCCCCCACTGCCCTGCTTTCTTTGTTTCTCCACCTAGGAGCTCATTGGGCCCTACAGTTTCCTCATTTTTGCTGGAATCTGTCTCCTCACTGCCGTTTACATCCATCTGGTTATTCCTGAGACCAAAGGCAAAACATTTGTGGAGATAAACCGGATTTTTGCCAAGAGAAATGGGGTGGAGATACCGGAGATGAAAGAAGAAAGGCCAGCGGCTGGGCTTCACGTGTCCTCTGCACCTGCCAAAGAGACTACCTTTTAAAGGGTCTTCACGCCCACCACCTGCTCACCTGCAAGGCTGCCTTCTCTGACAGGGACTCTGCCTGGCCCTCTTCCTGTTTACACAGGAACTGCAACTTGGAAAACAACCCCCCTCCAGTGGCAACTGTCAGGCTCTGGAAAGGATTGCTGTTGTTGTTGTTGTTGTTGTTGTTGTTGTTGTTAGGTGTCATCGGGTCAATTCATAGTGACCCTATCTGTGTACAACAGTTTGAAATCCTGCTCAATCCTGATCACAGTCTCCACTGTGTTGCCCATTGCTGCAATCACTGTGTCAATCTCTCTAGTTGAGGGTCTTTCTCTCCTTTTCTGACCCTCGACCTTCCTAAACATGCTGTCTCTTTCCAAGGACTAGCCTATGTTAACATGTCCAAAGTATAAAATCTCTCACCTTTTCCGCCTCTAAAGAGCACCCTAGTTGCACCTCTTTCTAAGACAGATTGGTTTGTCCTTTGGCATATTCAATACTCTTTGCCAACCCCACGATTCAAAGGCATTGATTATTTGGACTTTCTTCGTCATGATTCAACTTTTGCCAGTGTGTGAAGCAATTGAAAATATCATGGCTTGGATCAGGTGCACCTTAGTCTTTAAACTGATATCCTTGCTCTTTAGCACTTTAAAGAGGTCCTTGATAGCAGCTTTGTCCAAGGCAATATGTCATTTGATTTCTTGACAGCTACTTATCATGATTGGTCCAGTAATGAGGATTTTGTTTTCTTCATATTGAATTGTAATCCACAGTGAGGGAAAAATTAAGTAGATATTGTAAAGAATCTCTTCCCAACACTTGAAAATATCCAAAAGACCCATTTAAACTCTCTGCTAATATTTCCTTCTTCCTTAATCCAGTGTTGCTTCAAATACCAACAATCAAAATAATATAAAATCATTCTCAATTTTTTTATTTCAGCACCCTTGCTTTCCATTATCTTCTGCTGGAAAAATGTCAGACTCTTAAGGGATTTCGTAGATTTAGAACCTTGCCTAGAAATGTGAACGATATAAGTTTGGAAAAAGTCCATGTTTTATCAGTCAGTCTAAAATGGTTACATTTTTATTTCTTTTATTTGCCACATATTTAATCAATAGGACCTAGTCTTATTGATTCTACCTCCTAAATATCTTGATTATATGCAGGCTAGAGTAAGTAAGGTTCAGACCCCTTGTTCATAGAGTTTCTATGAGTTGTAGTCAACTCAACAGCACCTACTACCAACCACCACCACCATCTTCATTGCTATAAATATAACAAAACCAAAAGTGAAATTCCATTTCAGAAAAGCAACCAGAAGCAAATAACCTTCCCAGATGGAGTCAGTTAGTGCCTTCTTGGGAATAAGGAGAGCACCATATCACCTTTCAACATCTGCACCTGGTCAATGTCACAGCTCTTGGTGATCTCCCTCCGCCAATGCTTTCTAACAGCCAACCCCTGGGTTTAGTCTGCTGTGGATTGAGTTTCCTATCACCACCCCCAAACACTTTCAAACTCTCATTCCTTCCTTCTATACTCCTTTCAGCTAAACTACCAAAATCCTACCCAGCTGGAGTGTAGGGGATCTGTTGCTAAGGGTTTGGCTTCCCTAAACAATTGTCTTTATTCTGATCCAGCTGCCTCAGCTCTGCCTGTCCTACATACACATTGACCAGCCTATGTCAGCAACAGCTGTGTGAGCCATCTTTTCATCATACAGATAGGACATTAGTAAAACCAAAGGGCCTGGGATAGTCTCATCATTAAATTGAGCAGATTCAGTGGGATCTCACCACCAGGAGAAGCAGCAGCAGAGAATAAACAGGTGTGTCTTTTGGGGCCAGCGATTTCTGCATTAGGGATTGTATCTTACTGCTGACTGAGGAGCTGTCTGGACTCAGGTATTGGTTTTTTATTGTTAACTGAGAAACTGTCTGAACTGAGGTGTTGTATCCTGCTGTTAACCTGAATTATAGTTTGTTAACTTCCTTAATAAACCCCATAACCATGAATATGGTTCTGTTAAGTCTGTATAGTCTTTGCAACAGATTTAGGATGCAGTAAGTAGGTGGGGGAGCGTGGGAGGACATGGCCTTTATTTTGTGGATGCTGTTGATGGGGGAAGTTCCCCCTTGTGGAGTTACTAGAGGTTGTATTTGGCTGTATCCTCCCCTCCCCCCAGCTTTTGTTCTAATTGCACCAGTCTTCAAACCCAGTACTTTTCTCACTTCTCCTGCTCTAACCAGGCTTCAGGGAATGGTCCTTTCAGTCCTCTCATGCTTAGCTCCCAAAACACTTTGTACCTTTTTCTAATTAGAGCACTTAGCACTTTATGCATGAAACACTAGTATATCTGTTGTATAACAAATAACTTCAAAGCATAGGATTTGAAACAGTCATTATTTAATGTTTTCTGTGAGCCAAGTAGTCAGGTTAGATACCAAGGAATGACTTCTCTCTACTCTATGACTCTTGGGGCTTCAGGCAGTACAGAATCATTTACAGGTTCATCACTGAAGTTTCTGATAGTTGATGCTACAGGTCAGTGGAAACACCCATGGCCTGGGCTTTCTGGGCTTCTTTATGTTTTGGTTGTTAGATTTCTGGGAGGGAGAGACAAATCATAAGATTGGTGTAGGCAGGAGCCTTCGAAGTTCAAGTCAACCTTGTACCGCAGGTTCTGTCTCAGTGCAATAAGAAAAAAGAAAAGCATTCAAACTATAAAGGTTAAATAAAACTGTATTTATTGTTGTAATATGCCATCAAGTCAACTGTGGTTCATAGTGGCCCTATGAACAGCTATGCACCCTATCCTATCCTAAACCAACACACCTGACCCCATTACCACAGTCACTGTGTCATTCATTTAATCTCATTCAAGATCTCCCTCTCCTGTGCTGAACCTCTGCCCTTCCAAGCATGATGCCCTTCTCCACAGACTGGTCCCTCCTGACAACATGCCCAAAGAACATCATATGGAACCTCAGAATCCTTGCCTCCAAAGAGCAACCTGGTTTCACTCCCTCCAGGACAGACATATTTGTTCTCTTGGCAGTCCATGATATGTTCAATACTCTTCTCCAGCATCACAACTCAAGGGTATAGATTCTCCTTCTGTCACCCTTAGTCTTTGTCCAGCTCTCAGATGCATAGCAAAGAATTGAGAAGACTTTGTATACAGGATGGATCAGGCACACCTTAGTCTCTAGACTGATATCATTGCTCTTTAGCACTCTGGAGAGGTCTCTGACAGCAGACTTTCTTAAAACAACTCATATTTTTATTTCCTGATGGCTGGTGCCAACTGTATTGATTATGGATCCAAGGAAGATGAAATTGTTAACAACCTCAATCTTTTCTCCATTTATCATGATGCCGCCAATAGGTCCAGTGGTGAGAATTTTTATTTTCTTAAGGTTGAGATGCAATACAGATGGGCATTAATTTTTATATAGAAAATATGATTAAATCTTTCCAGATTCACATACATACACATTACTAGAACTACAGAGAACTCCTGAAAGTCAAAGATTGTGAAACCTATCTCACTTTGGGCATATTTTCGGGAGGAACTAGTCCTTCAAGACATGTTGGGAGAGATATAAGGTGAGCAAGGGAAAGGAAGACCTTCAATGAGATTAATTGACATAGTGACTACTTCAGTGAGCTTGAGCATGACAGAACTCGTGAGGATAGGACAGGATAGGACAGCATAGGACAGGTTTAGATCTGTTGTCCATAGGGTTACTATAGATCATAGTTGACTTGATGGCATGTAACAGCTTGATTTCACCTCAGTACAACAACAGCAATCATTAGTTGGGTGGAACCAGGCTTAGAGTCAAGGATTCTGAAGCCCAATCTGACACACTTTGGACATGTTACAAGGAGGGACCAATCCTTGGAGAGGGACATCATGCTTGGGAGGGTGGAAGGACAGTGCAGGAGAGGAAGACCCATAATGAGATGGGTTGATTCAGTGACTGGAGTAGTGTGGAGTAATGGGGGTAGGTGTGTCAGAGACAGTAAGATAGGCTCAGGATAGAGCAGAGAGAGAGAGAGAGAGAATATACACACACACACAACAGCCAAAAAAACCTGAGAAGTTAATCTGACAAAAAATGCTGAAATCCTTCACATTGAAAATTAGGGAACATCACTAAGAAATGAACCAAAAAAAACAAACCCATTGCTGCTGATTGCAACTCCTGGTGACCTTCCATTATTTTTCTGAGGTTATAACTCTTAGTGATAGGAGACCCCTTTCTCTGTCGTCTATGATTTGAACCACTGTTTGAGCCCAATTTGTAGCCACTGGGTCAATCCATCTCATCGAGGAAGGATCTTCTTCTTTAACTGACCCTCTACTTTAACAAGCATTCCTCCCAGAAAACAAATCAGTTGTTGCGTCAGAAAATCCAGGGGTAATTTTGGGGGTAATGATCATGATTGTATCATGACAGTATCATGGCTCCATAGACAAGACAGAATATTAAACTGTGCATCTTAAATAGGAAAAGAAATTATTACTTTAAAAAAAATCATTTGCTTTCGTGTGTGACACTTTACCCCAGTGCCTGTGCACGTGATGGGAAGATGGTGCAGTCCTGAAGATTAGGGATCTAAAGTCCAGGCCCTATTTGCTGTGATGTCATGACCATAAAGCAAGTCCCTGAATGCCCCTGGGGTTTGGATGGTTTTTTTGTTTGTTTGTTTGTTTGTTTTTTGGGCTCATCAGTTGCACAGGAACATTGTTCCCTTCCACCTTGAGATCAAAGTTCTGAATGGTAATTAGAATGTCATGTAAGCATTTCTAGCAGGTGTTCAACACATGCTTGTTTGTAGCTTGTGTTTGATTTTGAAGTCACATACTCCCGCCTCCAGGCTGTAACACTGGCACACTCTGCCTGAATGCCTCATCAGAGTTCAGTTGTCCTGAGAGGTTTTGGGGGTTCAGGCTCAGTCATGCCCCATGCCATCATTTTCTATCTTGTTTGGAATGAACA